ATTTAACCCATCTCAGTGAATGCAGTCAAGATCATTCAAGAGTTTAGGCATCTACAGATAGATTTTTACTACTTTAAATCATGTTGTAATAAAGGAGAACACAGGTGAGGACAACCGATTACAATTAGCACACAACTACATAGTTACTTGATAAAACAGAAAAACCATACTTCAATACTTCATTTATAAAATGTTCATTAATTGTCTCGGACTGTATTGTTCCTGCATTTCCACACCAATTAATTTCTATTCCCGTTCTTTCCTCCTTGATCTTCTTAATCTTCTGTTGCCAGACATTTTATTCCTGACCAGTGTTATATACTACTTATGTCTATATAAGTAGTACACACCACAATATGTATATCATGTAGATAATGATAAAATCAATTCAACTCTTAATTATTGTAAACATTCTGTCAAACTAGAAAATCATAAAATGTTACCTTTAATTAAAATGTAAACAAAATGTGTTGTTTTACTCATCACTTTACAGACTAACTGCACTATGATTAAAAAGTGAAAACGTATTTTTTGTAGGTTGAACCGTTTTGTTTTTTCTTTTTAAAACTTGTTACAGTTACTTTATACTAGTTATTTATTTGTTTATTTTGTTATTGTTGCCATATGTGTATAAAGGTAGCTGAATGGAGATGGTGAAGTGAGTGGGTACAAAAACATTTAATTGTTTTCAATATAGAAACAACTAATACGCGTTTGTAAATCTAATGGCTATAAAATAATACTCATTGCAGCTCACAGTATGTTAATTGTAGAAGAATAAGCTCAGAAGCTACTTATATATATATATCATGACTTTGTATGAATTCACATTTCTGGGGATGATCGAATATCTGTTAAGATAAATGGAATAAGTTAGGAAGTTAAACATTCTAAATGAACAAGTAAGTAAACAAATTAAAACCTTTATACACGAAAGTGCAATTCAACGGGAATGTGGCAAGTGACACTCTGAAATATAGGTTAACTAAAATAATCACCAGGACATTCTACACAGCCAATCTTGCGTTGACCTTCTCTTGTCGACCAGAGATGTCTACTCAAACGAAGGATAAATTACTTGAGTTGGCCTCTTCTATGTGCATTTACAAATTCAGCTGCTCCTGTGGAGATAGCTATATAGGGCGTACTACCAGGCAACTTAACCAACGAATGAGTGAACATCTACCAACTTGGTACATAAAGAGCCAGATAAAATCTATTCGCAGTTCTATCTTGGCACATCTCATTGATAGCGGTCATGCTGTAGGTAAATCGAAATCATTTCGAGTTATCTATCGTATACCTCCATCATTTCCCGACGGAGTTCGTTCCCGCCTCCTACATATAGCTGAAGCCATTGGAATTCGTACATATAACCCCAATTTATGTGTACAGAAGAAATACGTAACCCCCCTATCCCTTCCATGGCCAGTTATAACTTAACTAACGATGTTTTTTTTTATTTAATTTTTTTAAATTTTATTATTATCACTATTTATTTTATTCTATTTTGTTATCATTAACCTTACTTCCACAACCATTATTTGTTTGTAATTTTCCGCCTCTTTGTATTCTTCACTATTTAATTATTTACACACATCTTATTACGTAATGATTTTTAAGGTTTTGTGATTACTATTCCTAGTCTATTTACCCATGTTTGTTTGACCTTCTATTTCCAACGATAAACTATTGATAAGAGTTTTGTTATTGTATTTTATTATTCTCACTATTATCAGTTCACCTGTCTTCCTACTACTATCAACTTGTGCTTTTACCTATTATGTGTAGAGAGTTATTCTATTTCATTGTGATTATTGACCTATTTTGCCTTGATTGGTTTAACATTTTCGTATAAATATTCATGTATATTAGAGTAAAGCCAGATGACGATCTAATTGAAAACAATATTGTTCGCTTATATGTGTTGTTCTAATTTTCACAATGGGAATGTTTAATATTTTTTGATTGTGTGGTAGATTGTCAGTTACAGAGTCATTCTAAAGGCACTTAATACTTTATAGAAGACAGGTCATTATTTCATTAGTAAAATTTATATTTTTTCTTTATTTAGCCTCTTCTAACAAAACAAACCGGATCGGTAATAAAAAGGTTATGTTTCAAAGATCCCGAAAATTAATAATTGCTGTGAGACCAGAATACTGTACACAGCAGATATACAAAAACATGAGGGATGTAGTTATTATATAGGATCGGGATGGATAGCTTAGAGACTGATACTTAACGACGGATATTAAAAGGTGTTATTTACTACTTGTTGGTTTACTTGTGCGCTAGATAAACATGCCATAGGGCCCTAAACATAAGGCATATGTTCACTTCAAGCAACTATAAAAACGACATTGTAAAAACAAGAATGTGAGAAACGTCAAAGTAGATAAGTAAGTAGCTTTCTCTTTGACTGTGTTATATTGTTAAGGACTCTCTTGATTATAGATTTTAAGAAAGTGAGAAAGATGTGAAATCACTTACACTTTTCATTACCGTAAGGAATATATTCTCCTAGAAACAACTAGACTGAAACAACCGAGAAACTTGTGAAATTCACTAATTGTGTGAAAGCAATGTGCAATTCGTAACATGACTTTTTGCAGCATGAATTAGTAAAAACTGCAAGGGAGCTCAAATGAATCAAGATTATATTCGTAGTTGCTTGCCTACGACCCATGGCATAGAAGGAAAGACACTAATATGATTATGACTTATCAACGCTCACTTCAAATACACACAGAGAATAGGAGAATACAGATCTCCAAGTATCCTACAAAAATTTTTAAGAAGATAAATAAGAAAGAAGACAATAGTGGATTGTTGGAAAAGAAAATTTGAATGTATGCAGAGGTCAGGAAATCTGAGATTTCCAAGCTAGTTATTCAGAAAGACAGGAGCGTTTTACGTCGAGAGATGCTATCTCTGTTCAACTGAGTGTCTTCATACATGCGATGAATAACCAATACATTTACTGTACAGTTGAATATCACATGTTTTCTAAACCTACCATAGTAATATACAACTTCATACTGCGTACTGTAGTTTTGAGTTCTTGGTCGTGTCTTTTTGAAGTTCTGAACTTATTGGGATAACTATTATTTTTTTATAATATTTCAAATACATGATACAATGGCGAGGATTAAAACTACTAGTCAGTATGAATGACGAATATTGACATGAATACCTATTTCAAAGAAATATTCGTTGTCTAAAGTAGAAGTATCATATTAAATGTTTCCAACTATTACCGAGATACTTGAAAGATTTATTTGTTCAGCATTTAATCGGTTTACTAAGTCTCCGAGCTAAATAATCTTTTTCATTAACCCAGAAGTTCTCCCTAGCCCAACGGGGATGGTTGTTTGAAGATATCTGCATAGTACAGTTACAATTATTTATCTAATCTATGTAAAATTAGAAATACATCTGATTTAGTCCAAAATCATACTGTAATTTAAGTCCAAATTACTTTTACTCTCCAACCTATCAAGCCCAATTTGACTGTTAGAATTTCTATTTAATTATTCCTTTGTATGTAAGTGATTTATAGGCAAATTCGTCGTGTAGCGACGTGATGGGCTACACAAAACAGGAGGCGGAGTGGTAATACACATTGTCAGTCGCTTCAAATCTGCAATGCCACGTATTAACGAGTTAACCGAGGTGGTAGAATCATGCCGATGTTACTTAGATGCGAACGGAACAAAGTACTTGATTGGAGGAATGGACCGGCACGCACAAGTGATAAGACCCAAAAAGACGAGACAATGCAAGCAATACTAAAGTTACCACACTTCTGATCTGACGAAATATCACTAACTGGAGGCTTCAACAATCTGTCCCTTAATCTCAGCAAGCGGGATACATCCCCTACAGAATGGTGTGACAAACTGATTATCACAGTCATTGAAGGTCCAGCACTGACTGGAAGTGTAAGTGACTCCACGTGATGGGAGATGAACGGGAAACTTTTAAACTTACATTATTTACTGACAAATGATTAACTTCTAGTTGACGGTGTCCATGTTCATGCATCGATATTATGTAGTGACCACGTAACATTTATGTTCTTCAGAGAGCAAAATGAGAGAGATCCAGCCTGTTACAGACTAGTCTCATTACTTCGAATACTGTCGAAGGTAATGGAAGAACTGATCAATGAGGAAATGAGGGAGTGCGTAGATAAAAACAACATCCATGAGGCCTAACACGGGTTTAGGAAGATCATCATGTACGTGCAATCTCCTCACAGCATGAAATAGCTGGACGACCTACTGGGACCGTATCATAACGGTTCATGTAATATTCCTCGATCTCACTTAAACTTTCGACACTGTTCCCCATGTACTTCTCATAACGTAGGTTGAAAAGATGAGTTTTATTGACCCACCCTTAACGTAGCTCAAATATAACCTAGAGAACAGGACGTTTTGCATCAAGGTAAATAGAGCGCATGAAAATTAGGGGGTCATGACATGAAAATTTTAGCAGGGAACAATCTACGGTCTACCTCTGTTTTAGAGCTTTGTTAACGATTTACCATATGAAATTAGCTCAGTGGCACTGATCTATGCGGGAAACGCATAGATATTGAGACCAGTAAAAAACGAAAAAGATTCACGTGAGCTTTGGAAGGACCTAACAACTAGATGGGAATGGGGAGTAGAAAGTGGGATAAACTTAGCCTTTCAAAATGTCATGTCACGAACATTCTGTGTCATTTGGTAGAAAGCACTTACGGTCTCCGTGAAAGTCAGCCCATAATTGTCCCCTCAGAGTGTGATCCTCGGTTTGCACCCTCAGAAGGCATAGACACCAGTTCAAAGTAATCAGGGGATGCAGTCAAGGCAAACGCAACTTCGCTTCATGCGTAGACAACTTTGGACAATCACGTCCGAATTGTTCCTAATTTTCCTTTGAACATACGCACAGCTTCGACTTCAAGTACACAGTATTATTGTAACCTCCTAGAGGCAACGTTTTAAGCAATGTTCATCGAGGAGCAAACAATTCGGTTTTCTCTATCGCCTGAAGTAACTACAGCCATCTCAGTGGATAGCCTCGAAAGAAAATTTTACAAATATGGGTTCACCTATTGATCAGCTGTGTCTGATGCATGTCTCACAATTCGCCTTTTTTATCACTAGTACATGACAGTGAATACTGCTCATCTCGCTTATCATCATCACCTTTTCTCTCTTCACATTTTATTTCTGTCTGCTTACCAATTATGTAAATTATTTATATATTCTTGAAACAATCGTCTTCATTAGCAACCGATTCATCACTGTATACTTCTAACACTGCAGCTAGTCAACATCCTGTCTGGAGATGTGTCAGCTACTGATATCCAGAAACCCTATTGCCTTGAGACAACTCACTCGAATTGCAAAATATACTAACAACAATTCTGATTAAAATTAGTGTAGTGAAGTGACCGGACTATCGTCCACTGAACATAAACAAATACCCTAAAACGTAAAAAAAATCGACGAGAGATGAGGACCAAAAATTTAACCGCTTTATGCACGGTCATGACAAGGATTTTAGATGTTGGATGTTGAATATTAGAAATGTTGCGGAATTGTTGATCTCCTCGTTATATTAGGGTCAACCATCAACCTATAGACAGAAGTGGATCACTTCCACTTCGTTTAATTTATACGAAGTTAAAATTTACGACCGTTTAAGAAACAGGTTCGAATTTACTATGTTTAAATATTCAAAAATCTTTTTTTTCACACTAATCATGTAGTACTACATGTTTCTGATCCATGGAATTTGAAACGAAAGGGACATTCGTGTCGTCCACTTTGTGAACTTCAGTTCTTTCGAACATGTGTGTTAGCGATGTCGTTCGAGAAGTGGACGGTATATTCCTTTCATCATCTTGTGTACCCATATCTTCTGGTTTCTCTTTTTAATTTTTCTAATTTCGAGAGAAAAGTCAGTACATATTTGAGTAAAAACCCCACGGCCAGTATGAATCTCAAAAATACTGCTCGCGTTGTCTTCTGAATTTTGCTTAAACCACTGCCGGAACTCATTGTTGGAGAAATTTTCCTCAAAGTTTAGAGAACGAAATTTGTTTGTTTTTTATTCATGTATTTCAGAAAAGCCATCCTCTTACTATATATATATGATATAATCACGGCTATAGTGTTTTTCTGGTTGAAAGCATGGTCTTAAATGCTATCAGTTGAGCGGTTGCTCAATTACTTAAAAGTTTATTAAATTATGGTTTCAACTTGCAAATTTCGTTTTTGATTTATAGTTGACGTCAGATTTTACTTATGTGATAGTTTTACTGCGGAATTTATGTAAGACAGTGGTACTTTGACACTTATGCACAAGATTGCCAGCTAAATGAATGTATTGACTTGTTAGTGGGTGAGTATTACACTAATCAAATACTGCTTACAACAGTTAATTAGAGTTAAACTCTGACTGAGAGCTTACAAGACTACTTTGTGATGGTGGTGGTAAATGTTGGCTTAGTTTCCTGACCCGTCCCATGTATACATTACTCGATAATATATAAATGATCACTTCAGCAAATGTATAGTGATTTGTGTATTCTTATGGTTGAAGATTTGAATTAAACAGTATTACTGCTTCTATTTAAAAAGGCTAGTAGAGCGTGTATAACCGATTGCAGTAGTATGGTCTGGAATGCTATAAGTATACCTTGTTCACGTTTCTATTAACATGATTCATTCTAATCGTCAATCACTTCATGGACTGATGCTGTTTTGGTTTAGCCACTAGTATCGTTCTTCCAGTCTTCATTTTATTATTTATTTGAACATATAAGTATTGGTACAAAAGGGCACTGAATGCATATGCGCCACACAAGTCACTTGGTTTGTGTATGGGCTGTGATACTGCCCGGGTGCCCAGACCGAAGCAGGTTCCAGTCTACTACACCAGATAACATCCCTCCGTCGAGGTAGACAGTGGTTAAACATACGTAACACATGTCCCAACCACCTCAGTTGATGAAAGTTTACTCCTTCATCAGTCGACTTCCCATCTTTATCAAGTATTCTACTCCTAACCCAGGCACTACTTAGTCGGTGGTCCCAAGATACACGAGCCATGCTTCAAGGATACACGATCGAATACTAGTAACCTCTGTTCTTAATGCCTGTGTTTCATATCTGTAATGTAGAACGGAGCAAGCTGCTGCTCTGTAGACTCTCCTTTCCGTTAGAAGACGTTTATCTGGTCTACGCAACAAGTGACCCAACTTGGCAAAAGCCAATCGAGTAGTACTGTAACATGGACTAATTTCAGGCTGTGCAGTGATCATGAGTGAGGTAGTAAACGATGACAAAGAGCAGACTACAGCATGATGCTGATCTCGAAACTTACTGATCTTTAGCATGTTTACAGAAGTTTAGGCTAATAAATTTAAATCTTTAAAATGTTTTGAATCAGTATTTCAAGACTTTTAGTGGTTATCTCTCTGAATCGAACACAGTACAATAAGTTTGTCCATGTTAGTCTTAGAGATTATACTACTTTTCAGTAACTTTACTTCTTGAATTTTTTCCATGGTTATTCAGAAATTTCCTCATTTTTGTTGACTTTTCCGTCTTGTTTTTTTAATTTGTTCTTTCTCTACTTACGTCTTTGTTTATTTGGGCGTTGTATTTATCTGTGTTTAGTTCTGCTTTTGTGTTTTGGATTTTGAAGTCTTGTATGTTTGTTTGGTAACTAAAGTATCACATATTGTCAAATTCGTACTTTTGAAACCTACACATGGATATTAGCGTAAATAACTAGGGTTTTTATTATTGCCTGGATAAAAAATTACCTGAGAATAATCGCCTAAACTATGTTATTCAACTATTGTTAGAAATTCTAGTCAACAAATAGGTATGATTTTGATTATACTATTAATCATACGTCTTGAGTTCAAATAAGGGACCTCGAGCTTGTAAGGTTTATTTGTATTGTTTGTTAAAAGCTCAGTTTTTATAACGTCTTTGATAGCGATAACTGTCTGTCAGTAATGAAAAGTCACTCTATCAATCATTTTCAAATAGAGGTGTTTGTGCGAGTGTCAGTTGTATTTCAATGATAGATTTGTGTGTCATGGATCTCTCGTGGAAAATGTGGGTGTTTAGTGTGTTTTTCGTGTTGTGTTTTCCCTTGCATCTCTTACAAACAAATTACTTTTCCAACAGTAAATTCCTCTATATTTTGGACATATAGATTCATATTAGATGATGTGTTTATAATCCATTTTTTGTAGTGTAGTATCTCCTTTAAATACTTCTGAATTGCTTAGACAGTGGGATTATTGTCTTTTCCCCTTTTAATTGGATTCCAACTGGTCTATGGGTCAAAAGCAACCAAAATTAAAACAAGATGCAGTTGAAGAACTACTAAACCAAACATCTTTTACGGAAACTGAAATTCAAGACTGGTATAAGGGGTTTTTGAAGGTTAGTTGAGTTGGACATGTTACATTGCTTCCGCATTTTCAGTTGTTTAGCGATATTAGTATTTGTTTTATCTCCTAGTGTTTGCCTCAGTTCAGCAGAAGCAAACATCTAATGTGATGGTACCACCACGATTTCACGTAACTTCGACTGGGTTGTTCGTATTTCATGTTCATCCTACGGTAAATGATTGAACTTCCACTGTATTACGTCAACGAATAAATATATCTGAACAATAGGATGAATATTTGCGTAATATCTGTAGTCATCTTGTTTTCTACATCTAATTCTTTGCAACACAAACATAGTAGCTCCATGTGGTTTTGAAAGTAGAATACTGCTAGTAATCGTCACATAAAATGTGTGGCTGTAAGTTAAGTACATAAACCCTTATTTTACAAATGCGTTACATTGTTTTACTGAAAAGGTTAGTTATATATGAGCTAAAATATTATGTGGTTAATCATTGAAATATTTGATTGAACTTTAATAATTAAAATTTTAACGCTTATGAAATTTCTCCGTGCAATGTAGTAGTTTATCGGTTAAATCACTAAACTTTTAACCACTAAGTTACATTCTTGACTCCTGTTCTAATTGCTTTGGTCAAGCACTGCTACTTACTCTCATATAAAATTATAACTAGAACTTGAGTAAAGTAAAATGTTTAGTTGGTGGGTTACGATGTGACGAATATTGAGTTTGACGTTAATGTTATGTTTCACTAAGGACTTATTTAATCGACTTTCATTATTTTCTGATTTCTTTCAACCACTCACCTTAGATTTGTTGGAGATTTCGTTCAGCGTAAATTGTCGTAGGTTATTACTTATAGCACAGTGTTAAATGTGGCAAAACATGTTCAGAGTGTATTTTAGCATTCTATCAAAAACTACACTGGGTTTTAAAACTTTGATTACTAAGATGAAGAACCAAAATATTTCTGTTCATGTAAGACGAATTTGGTGTTAAAGCCCTGATTAACAATTTTGAATAAACACGTCAATAAACTATGAAAATCCCCTTATGGTTTAGTAAAGACAACAGTTTGTGCTGACATGTAGAAAGTCACAACGAACGAATATAACCGTAATTTACACATGTTATGCCATATACAAATGTTCAATAATCATTTTTCCAATCAAAGAAAATAGTCCAGTTTTCTATTTATCTCTTTGTATTTTTTGCTTTTTACAAAGGAATGCCCAACTGGTTATTTATCTATTGATGATTTTAAACGTGTTTATACAAAGTTTTTCCCATATGGTGAATCTAGTCGGTTCGCAGAGTATGTATTTCGTACATTTGATCAAAATCATGATGGTTTGATTGACTTTCGAGATTTTCTATCCTCATTAAATATAACAAATCGTGGTGATTTATCACAGAAATTACGTTGGGCATTCACGATGTATGATTTAGACAATGATGGTTATATATCAAAACAAGATTTAATTGAGGTTCTTACTGTAAGTCTTTGATGCTGTTGTTTTATTTTCTACATTGTCTTTTCGTTTTAAGATTAGGTTATGGAAATTAATAATTTAGAACACTCAGATAACATAGTTCTGTTTGGTGAAGACACTGATAAAATGCAGAGTATCTTGGTACCACTGAGCAACAGTGCCAGGATGTTTGGGTTACATTTCCGTCATTAAATACAAATTGCTGCTTCAGGACTGGCCTGCGTCAACACCTGAACTAAGGATAAGAAGTAAAATAGCAGGACGCGTCGACAACTTTACTTATCTTGGAAGTCCGGTCAGCTCTAATGGGTCGGTATTTGACGAAATCTCTGCACTGATTAAAAAACTCGTTTGGTTTTTACAGACTTGCGCCACCTATAGTGAAGGCGAGATATCCGTCTATCAATTAAAGGGCGAGTATACTCCGCAGCAGTTTGTTCTGTTTTACTTTACGGCTGCGAAACGTGGCCATTAAGGGTAGAAGATACTCGTAAGCTAATAGCATTTGATCACGTATGTCTTATAAATATTGTTCTCATCTGCTGGGATCACCGGGTAACTAATAGTGAGGTGTTAGACGCAGGTTATTGTGGAATGATGGTAAGTCAGGTGATGAGATTGCGAATCTTCATTGACTGAAATGGTTGAGCCACGTATTACGGATACCCAACCATCGGTTACCACGGCGCGCAATGCCGACTAGTGTTGGAGACGGGTGGTAGAAAGTTAGGGGCAGCCAAACTAAAACGTGACATCAGTCCATAAAGTCACTAACTTCTAGTCTGAGCCATGTTGGTAGATGCAGACTACTTGGTTGGGGTCCGCATGACTATCGTAACCAATGGAGGAGACTCTGAGTGACATGGCTCAGAATCTACCACAATGGCGTAGGTGTATGCACACTCTGTCTTTGTTTAGACCGTGAAATTAAAATTACTTTATATCATTCCTTCTACGAACTAATTCTTTCCCCCCATATTATATTCTTATATAAAATCCCTTCTTACTACCATCAAAGTAACTGCTTCTACGAATTTGGTGTTCATCTTGTGCTAATGATTGGATTGATGCATATATATACGTTGTCCTAAGGTGTAGCTGACTCACTGAATTTAAATGGACCAATGCATAGCAACTTGTTTTTCAATGAAGTCGGGATATTTTTATCGCTGTATAGCCCTGCAATTTTTCGTGGTTAAATTATTGGTCTTTAGCTCCTGCGTTGTAAATATGCAGTACCGGAATCCAAATTTTTGGAATCCTTTCCTTTCTTTTAGTAATAAATTCCCACAAATGGGTGAGGAATATCTGTTGTCACTTTTAGTGTGACTGGCTCTCCGTTTGGTATGATGACCTGTGAGACCTAAATATTATTAGGTATTTAATAAAAAGATTTAGTCAGCCAGTCAGTAACAACGTAACACTTCCTACGCACGTACATCAGTTCGAGTTGCCATACCGCATTAGCACAGATGCAGTTGTCGATTCAAATCTCGTAATGGTAGAGGTAATTAAATTATAAGCAGTAATCGGGAAGATTAGGGTTTGAAGATGTTATTCAAGGAGTATAATCGAGTAAAATAAATTTGGAAAAAGAGAAATAAAAGGACATGAAGAAATCGGAAGATTAGAATTTGGGAGAACACTAAGAGCGAATACACCTGCGTCATTGCAGACTATTTTGAGCCAAATCATTCAAGGTCTCTAACTTCTATCTGAAGTTTGTGCTGATGATGTCGTTCAGAAGAACGATGAAAGCTCCACGACCAAACCATCCAGCTCAGAGAACAAAACTCCATCAAAAAGGTCTCTAACCACCGGTTGCTGTCATCTCGTGGACCCAAACCAATTAGTCTATACCTATTAAAATGACTAAGTTCAGTTGTGACTTCACGGTGTGGTTCCATGTTTTGACTTTGCCGTCCCTAGCTTTCTTCCATCCTACTCCTCCTACACTATAAAACATTGCTCGTCGGATCAGTCAGTGGTTGCGCATACGTAACACATATCCCCCAGCCATCTCAACTGACGAAGTTTCACTACTTCATCAATTGATTTGCCATCCTTACCTAGTACCCGTTTCCTAACAACTACATTACTTACTCAATAAAAAAATACAATTGTTAATTATTATAAAAGTCATAATTAAGCTTAAATCAAATCCGTCTGGTTGACAATGGATAGGATGTACTGCCAATAAAAACAATTTAAACCAACGCATTCACTAGACCGTTACATGGCTAATCGTGTGTTTTTTATTGTCAGTTAAGGCGTCTACGTGGCCTCAGTTCAAAGTGACTGTGATTCTTCCTATTCCATAATGGTAGATTTCGAGTGTAACCATAATTATTTAGAAAGTAACTGATGGTTTACGTGTTATCGAAGTATGTGCTCAACATGTCTAGGTGTACCCACTTTTCTCACAAATATATAGACATATAGCATACTGGGAAACAAATCATCTCCGGTTGTAATTACATTCGAACTTGAATCTAAACTAGTGATGACTAAAGCTCATTGCTACTAAGAAGATAGTGTACGAATTGTTGACTTTTACATGCATCTTGATAAAATAATAACCAATAATACAATTTTTTTAAAATCATTATTATTATTGGGCAATAGATTTAAGAATAACAGATTAGTCAGATGTAAAAAATTGTTCATTGATGTGGATGCCAGTGTGAGTAATAACTTCAAACCACATTTATTTTAATAGTGTTCTTCCATATGTAGTCAAACACTCCTTGGTCTCCAATGGTTCACCAGCCGAATGTTATTTCGTGATGAACACTATCTTCGAAATCAAACTAACCAAATAGACAAAATCATTTTTCCTTTCTTATTACTAGTCCGGCGCTTTATCCGGGTTGATGGATACGAAAGATCCACCTAAGGGAGTTGGAAAACCCTGATTCCAAACCAATGGTACACATGGGTTCCAGTATCCTGAGGGACCAAATAGTGTATGAACCGATTATTGATCACCGGCTACCATGTGACTGCATCTTCTGACGTTGCTTCACTGCCTTGTGGATCAGACCTTCAGATCAAAGGCTTGGGGTATGGCCCTCTAGGGAAACTGCCTGTTTCGGTTTGGACACCCAGGCAATATCACAGCCCTCACACAAATCAAATGAGATTTGTGTGGCGCCTATCTATATGCTGCCTCCGTGTACATATGTTTGTGTTTAAATAATAAATAAATTAACTAAATAGTAGCCCAATTAGAATACGAGAAGAGTTAGACAATTTACCATCTGTTAAGGTTTAAAAACTCGCGTGAATGTATAGGTCATCTACATGTCCACAACTCATTACGATTAGGAAATCTTAATCTGTACGTTTTTGGTGCAGTAATAGAAATATAATTAGTTAATTCTAATTTATAAATGAGTAAAAGGTATGCCAATTGTTAATGAGTTAAATAAAGGCTTACAATCAAGGCAACTACTTAATTAGTACATATCAGAAAAAATATACATAAATATTTTAATTTGTTGGGAAATAATTTTCAAAGTTTCACCTTTTCTAACAAAAATGACCTAGTTATGTGGAGTTTGTTGGGATTTCGTTTCATTTGGAAACCAGTGGAAATTAGGGAAGCCTACTGCAAAGTTATTTCATCTTTGTTTAATACTTCTCGTCAGTTTATGTAATTGCTATCCTCCTGATACACAAAATCAAGCTTCGTAAATTCATGTCTCGTGGGTGAAACAATACGATTCCACTGTTGAGTTAAAACGACTCTTTTTAAAGGTCATTATGTAATACTTAATATCATGTTCAGTTAGAAAGAATAATAGATGAACATATTTTGTTTATGCTTATATATACGATTTTTAAAAGCTTTCCAAATAAATTATATATATATCTGTATCATATTATTTTTAGGCTATTTATGCAATGGTTGGCTCTGCTGTTGAATTCAATGTTACAGATTCTACACCGGAAAAACGAGCAGAGAAAATATTTCAGTTGATGGACTTAGATAGAGATAATCGTTTGTCATTAGATGAATTTATAAATGGTGTAAAATGTGATAAATTATTAATGCGTTTGTTGACTTTCAATACTCATCCGTTGCATCATCAACATTCAGATTGTCTAATGAATGGATCAAATGATAACAAAGGATGGTCATGTACAGATACCCATTATAATCATCAATCTAATGATTATGATAATACAGCCAAACCAATTGTAAATCAATCATTTCCCAAACCGAATGTTATTCCTGATACCTCAGAGTCTTAAAACAGATTCATCTTTTTGCATATGAAACTATATATATATATATATATATATGATTTGTAAAGGTAATTATCTTGATAAATCTGATCTTTAAAACTTCTTGATATATTATTATACTAGATTGTTTTCAGAATGGGAGTTTGTGAGGATTGCACTAATCTCAATAGTTAAATTCATAAGTTGATCTAAGCTAGACTACTATTGAGTGGATGCGCACTGCTGAGGAGTCCCGCATTAGGAAAAAACGGCCATCTAGTGCTTTCAGGTTTTTAGTGGTGGTCTAACTTAGATCGACTCATTAATTCAACTATTAATGTTATACTAGATGTTTATTATTTTATCAGTACATATGTTATAAGGTTATTTGATTTTTACGCTCATACATACTTGTAACTTCTGAAATTTCTCTTCATGATACAAAAGATAGTTTTCTCTCATGATTAGTTAACTCAAATAAGAATAAAGAAGTGTTGTGTATTGCCTTGTAATTTCATAAGCTTCTGAAAGAGGTACTGTTATGAGTACTAATTAATGTGCTCAGTAGGTTCCATTAACAAATAATATTAAGCATTGGCTCTCTATTTTTTACTGGAAACTAAGGGTGAATGGTCATTTTTAAGAACACTCTAAGAACGTGCACCAGTATCTAATAATAGTGACCTTTTCTTCAAAATTCTGTATACAAATCAATTAGTGAACATAAAATAATGGTATACTTTGTCAAATTAACATTTTTTAATTTGAGGTCATGAACTGATCAGTGCTGTACCAACATTGGAAAGCTGGAAGCACTGGACGGCCGTTTTCTCCTAGTATGAGATTCCTCAGCAGTGTACTTGTGCGATCATGCACAAAAGGTTTGAACCCAGTACCTTCGGTTACCAATGAACTGCCATCTTATTTGGTTTCATTTCCGACTATATATATGCAAGGACACGTTAGAGGTCATTTGGAGTTGGAATTCAAATGGTGTGCTCGGTGTCAAGTAAATGCCAAGCTATTACACTATTCACAGGCATTGTGCCTCCCAGTCTCAAGTTCTTTGGAGCGTGCTCGGAAATGCGACTATGTACCCTTTTCTCTGTCCTTCCGATGTATGTGTTTGACACGTACATGCAAATCGGTAAATGTAGTTGAAAGTACTGAGAAAAGAGGCCCTATCAATTGTTGTTTATGTGAGTGAGCATTTCGTTTTAGTCCTGCTGATGGATAAGCAACTTTCAACGCAGCATTTATCCCGTGGTTAATTATCGTAGTGATTTCATCTCCTTTGAAGCGCGAATATAAGAAGCAGGTTCTCTTATCAATTGTATCGTATTTAACCCGTAGGTTGGTTTTGGCATACTTCTCTATGAATTTCTCTGGATATGTATTTTCACGTAGGCAATTTGTAGTGAAGTCAAGTTCTTCCAGGCTTTCCTCCGAGCAAATTTTGCGAGGGCGGTCAGAAAACGTTCGTACAGTTCGCTTTTTATAACTTATTGGACAGAAACTATTGTAATTGCGATAAGCTCCACTTAAGGTATTTTTACAGTGGATATGTATCTGTAATGTGCCATCTGAAGTTCTTTAGGTTCCAATATCGAAGAATTGGAATTCATCTATCTCATTTTCAATAGTAAAATCTATATCCTTGTGTGCTTTGTTACCGAGTAAAAAACTAAGTCGAATTGAAACAAAAACACTCTCCCTCCGATTAAAATTTCATATTGCGAAAAAATTCAACATAATCGAGACCGAAACTCAGTTTGAGCATTTATATCAGTAGTTGACGGACCTAAAACCCATAAATGATGAATAACTAAGTTAGTTGAAATCGAAATTACTGGATATTACAAGTCAGTACGTTACGACACCATTTCCTTAATGTAGGGTGTTGAGTAAAGATAATCAAGCACTGAGAAAACTTATAAAACACGAAACAATAATGCTACTTCGCCTGGACAAGGGCTTCCGTGTAGTCATCCTAATCAGAGACGAACACATTAGCAAGATAATGTCTATTTTAAATAATACCATCAGACTTACAATCGAAAATACTCAGAAAGATCTGAAAAGCGTCTTTCGAAAAAGTTGAGAAAACTCTTGAAGAAAAATGTAATTGGTAAAGTGTCTTACAATGAATTCGAACCGAGAAGACCACAATTACCTTACTTATGCGTCTTACCTAAAATCCCAATGAGGTAAATATTATCTGTGACCAAATCACCTTTCGACAAACTTGCCCGTTGTCTGACTAAGTGTTCAGAACCAATCCGTGAGAAACTAGCTCTCTACAGTTTGAAGGATGCTTTCGAATTTGGAAAAAAGCTTAACATCTAAAGTGCTTTCGATAGTAGTTTTTAGTTATACGGCCAGAGAAAAGAACAACTTATCTACATGAAATAAGTTCTTGTCCCATGACACTAGTGGTAATTTCCAGGATTTTGTATGGCAACTGACAATTGGTTCAACGACAGCGTAGCTGTGAAAGTCATGTTGTAAACTCAATATTTTGATGATCTAGTGGATCACTTGTCCATATTAGTATTTATAGATGGATAATTAGAAATAGCTCTGCATGCAAGTTACTCGTAAGCATAAGTTCAAATAGAAGCTATAAATCAGTCCGTTTGAAATTAAGTTTGTGAAATCAATACAACTCAAATAGTACCATTAAATATGATGTCTTCATTTAATCGAATGCCTATAAGTCGATAAAGTGAGTGCAAGCCATGTGATTATCAGATAGAGCATAGGTTTTAGTCAGTGGGAGCATAGCACCCAACCCATTTTTATGATAATGGTATCAACTTTGAGTCAGTGTTTGTGTAAATACAACAATGATGCTTTCAGTTTGCAGATTTGCTCGACTGCAGACACCAATCATTTGCGCAAACGACTGCCGTCAAACCTCTCATCAAACTGATAAAGTTTCAACCAACTGATAGTAAAAGCTCTTTTTTGAGAATATCAGTGTTAGATGGAGATAACTGAGTAAAACACTATTTGTGGAAGTAGTTATGTCATATCATCGGCTGACTTAGTTTTTGGGCTCAACACATATCAACCATATTACGTGACTGTCAAATCGTAATAATGCTTTGTGGCGATGTCAAGAAACCATTATGAATAGCTACTTGTATCTTTGATTTGGCATTAGCTATGAGAGAAGAAGTTAATGTTGTTTTACATAGCGAAAACTTTTGATGGTTCAGAATACGTTCAAGGCTGTTGATTCGTAAATGCCAGGAGTTAAAAAATAGTTTAATGCCAATGTATTCGGGTCACCTGATTGCATTACAATTCATGTTGCAGAAATATTCGTTAACTTAGTACTTAACATTTATAGTCGTGTAAAAATGACTATAAGAACCACTAACAAGTATTAGACTATTGTTTGATCTAAAATGCTTCGTTTAAAAGTCACTTAATGGTAGTATGTCATACGAAACCATGAAATGTATTTTATGCCGAAAACGAGCTTGTGTGTGTTCTAATTATATATATATATATATATATATATATATATATATATATATATATATATATATATATAAGCGAACGGTTGGCTGCACTTGGTTGATTTTTGTGCATGATGTGTCGTACGTGATCCAGTTGCGGGACCTCTTTCCATTATTCTGTTTGCAATACTCACTAAGTGAGATAGAGTGGAGTCCGGGTCTTTTTCTGGGACTGTTTCACCTACTGTGTTGTCGCGCACGAAGACTTAGATGTCAAGTAAAGACTGTGATGGTGATTTATCACCTATTTCTCCTCGGAAAGACCTTTTGATTCTTCAGCCGTCTGATAAAGATAAACAGTTTAAACCGTTTATCTAATAATTATTATATTAATTATTATTCCGCATCTTAAAATGGTGTATGGTTGGGATGTTGGTGAACTTAAAATTAAGTCGCGGACTTCGTTTGTGACTGCAGGATGGAAGAAATGGCACGAATTTTGATTTAATATTGTGTCTCATGAAGTAATGCTTTAGTTGATCAAACCACGATTCGGGATCACTGCGTTTAAATTCTGGGAATCAAACTTCCGTAGTCATAATATAGTCTATCTTTACGGGTGAGAAATTCTAAGGCCGTCGCAGTGATAGTCATATTTTATTAGACAGGCTAAGATCTCTTCTGGAGCGGTAACAGCTCTCATTGTTTCTTCTAATTCGATCTCTGGTTGTCATGTTTTCCAGCTCAAATGGTTGTGGACGGAATAGAAGAAGTTCTCGCTTAATAGGCTTCCGTGTCTAATAGCAGAGGATCACCAAATCCTCCAGGCAGGAACCTAGGTATGCTAACAATAAAAGAGGAAAAGAAATTAGTAAATCATAGTTTGATACTATCCTTAGTCCTTAACAATAGAGTAACCCTTTCTGAAACCATGCTGTTGGGGTGAGAAATTTAAGGACAGTAAATAGTCATTTATACCATCGCATATCAGGGACTCCATGATTTTTGAGGGTATGGAGAGAAGAGCCACCGGTCGGTAACTTGAAGGTTCGCTGCGTCGACCTCCTTTGAAAATTGATGTGATGTGAGCCAGCCTCCAATTTTCCGGTAGTTTTCCTCGACTTGGCGAGTGTGAGAGCATCACGCTAAGCGGCGTTGCCAAGATTGAGGCTACTCCCCTCAGTATGGTGGAATGGACCATGTCCGGGCCAGGAGAAGTGTCTAATCTTAAGTGCCGCAGTTTCCGGAACACCATGTGGGCGCTTAGGTTCGCTTCGGAAAGTCTTGAGGAGTTGCAAATAAAACTGTCACCAGTAAAGTTAATGTCGGTCGGTTGAAATGTCTGAAAGTAATGTTCAGCCAGAACGTTAGCGGCGCCGCCATCGTTGTTGGTCGGGCCGTTAAGACCTGCCAGTTGGGAAACTCCAGTTTTGGCTTGACGAAGAGAAGCTGCATAATGGAATAAGCTTTTAGGATTAGAGGCAAATTTGCCCATAAGCTTTGTCTGGTACTGAAGCCCATCTTCTCTTATAGCCTTCGTGCATATGTTCCTAATATGTT